CCCCCCCCCCGCCTGCAAACACCGTGTAGCCGGTGGCACCTCCGGAGCGCGAGTTGGCCCATCGAGGTCTCAGTCGTCTCTCTGGAGATGTCCATCTCTTGTTTGCGACAAGGCGACCAGCGCTCCTGCACTAGGCATATTGTTTCCGTGGCTGCGGTCAGGAGATAGGGATGCAAGGCCCTAGAGCCTTCCTCAAGGGCACCTAGGAGGTATCTGAGTCGATCCCAGTCTTAACTCTCCAGCTTTGGCTTTAGTCAGGGTTTCACCAGGAGCCCACCATCCTCCTGCTGTGGTGAATGACCCAGCTGTTCCCCAGGACAGCATTTCTCTTCCCAGCCAGATTCCGCTCTGAGGAGCTGCCCTTTTTGTTTGCTAAATTAATCCAGTCCTTTTAAACTGCTGATACCAGGAAGACTCCCGCAGGGCAGACAAATGCCTCGCTGATGGTGAGGAACTCCAGTAGGATCTTGCAGAACTGAGTGAGTGAGTGAAGATGTGGCAGGTGATGTTCATCTGTGTGGTGTTTATCTCTCTGAACAGCAGATAGCAGCCAGCTCTCTTGTTCTCCCTAAGGAGCATCTCATCTGCCAGGTCAGAGGCAGAACAGGCTGGAGGCATCTGGTGCGACTTTGCAGGCACTTTTTGCACTCTCCGCTCAGACTGCCAAAACATTCTTCATGGCCCTTTGGGAACTGACTCCCGTAAGGCCGCTGAACAAACAGCTTGCTGAGGCTAGGTGTTTTCCGTAGGGGAATAAACCAGAGTTTCTTGGCACACCCCTTTGATCTCCAAAGACAAGCTTTAAATTCTGGAACTTCTATTGTAACAGGCACAATGAATGTGCCTTTGTCTGGCTGTGCGGGAGTTTGTGAGGTAAGAAATGCCTGGACCACATGGTCTTCCCTTAGGTGCACCGCAGAGCTGTCCGTGCCATGACTCACAGCGCTGCACGTAGCCCTGTGTCCTAACTCGGCTTGTCCTTGTCTCCACGTCTGATGTGTCCCTTTCTCAGTCACTTCAGCACAATCCTCAGCTCTTTAGTGGGACTTGTCCTGCCGGTCAGGCCCAGGGCTTTGAGCCTCCTTGCCCAAACAGACAAGGAATAACAAACGCTCAGACAGGGCCTGGGATCTTATTTCTTCCCTCTGGCAGGAAGAAAACTGCTCTCAGGAAAGGTAGATGAGTTGATTGGTTAATTTAAGGACTAAGGGCAGAGTTAATGTCTCTGCAGCTAACCAGCAGGCAAATTCACTAGTAATGGGAACCCACAATACGGTACTCTCCCGTCTCCTTTCTTCCAGAGCTGCATTATAAAGCGCTACTGCGAGAAGAGGTTTGTTCCCAAATACCTGGCGACTATTGGCATCGACTATGGTGTCACAAAGTGAGTACTGCTCTAGGGAA